TTGCCCAAAACTCACCATATACCCACGAAGCTTCAAGCAATCCAAAGACCCCTACAATATTGGCAACTTTTGGAAGGAACTCTTGACAAAAATGGATTTAAGAATGGTGAAACAGATCCAGGCAAAATGAACTAAAATTGTGAAGTCATGGACTCATAACTCAAGCATGGTCAAACTCTTTGCCACGGCAAATTGGTTTACTGCTTCTTTTGATATTTAAACCCTTCAATTAAACCGCTTAAACGCAAAGCTACGTATTTCATGTACAAGAATTTAAACTGGTTCCCTAGGAAACAACATGAGTAGCAAAATAATAATAATAATAATAATAAATTAATTAAAATCAAAGTTTTGTTCTAAGGTGTAGTTAATCTCAATAAAGCACAACCTTCTACCTAGAGATAGAACTTTCTTCCATTCTCACAAAAGCAAATTAGTAAGGGGAATAGAGTATGACCATGAACTAAACTTTTTGGGTCATAGACTCATGGTTATGCAGATCAAGGAAGCAAATTGCTTTGCCCCTTTTTTGATACTCTATATAATTTAATTCAACGGCTTAAACTCTGTCTTATATGTTTCAACCTGAAAGAATTTGAAATTGCTGCAAAGAAAGAAAATATGTAGCAAACAAAAAACCCAAATAAATAAACATCAAAGTTTTGCTCTTAGGTGTATGTAGTAACTCTTCACAAAGCGCAACCTATATTGCATTGAAATCTCTTCCGTTCTCACCTAAGCAAATGGTAAGGTGAATAAAGTAGCATCTGTTACCTGAAAAGTGTCCTTTCCTACAGAATCATAGACCACATCAACACCCTTTCCTGATGTTATTTCATTGACGCGGGCAACAAAATCCTCTTCTTTATATAAAATGACGTGGTGGCATCCATCTTCCTTGGCTTGAGCAGCCTTCTCTTTGGTTGACACAGTTCCAATAACAGTGGCACCAAGTGCATTTGCCCATTGGCATAATAGAGATCCAACTCCACCAGCTGCAGCATGAACAAGGACATTGTGTCCAGGCTCAACCTACGTCAAACAAAATTATACAATCAAACAAAATTAACAATTCATTGAGATAACATATGTAATGTTTTGTTTTTTATCTCAGAGAAAATTGTGGAGAGGAGGGCTAATGCAAGGGGAAAAACAAACAAGACTGTGTTAAATAGTGCCTAAAAAACATGGAGTTTATATGTATTTTACCTTGAAGCAGCGACGAACCAGATATTGAGCTGTCATACCCTTCAGCATGATGGATGCTGCAATAAGAGGATCAACAGAAGGAGGAACAGGAACAACTCTATCAGCTGGGAGGATTTGCTCTTCGGCATACGATCCCATAGGCTGACCAGCATAAGCCACAATATCTCCAACTTTTCGGCCAGTCAATCCAGGCCCCACAGCTATTACCTCTCCTACAGCCTCCTCACCTGCAATAGAAGAAAAAAACTTTATGACTCTGCAGAAGTATTATTCACAACAAAAATACCACTTCAAACAGTCCAACCATAGAAGCAATAGCCTTGCAATGGAAAATACTTCAAAAGAAAATTTTCA